GTGCAAACCGTGTAGCGAGCGTGCGAAAAGCGTGTGAGAAACGTGCGACTTTCGTGTAAGAACCGTGTGAGAAACGTGCGACTTTCGTGCAAGAATCGTGTAAGATTCATTCGGAAGTCATTTCATTTTAAATATGGCTATCGATGGGTCAGGATGTAAAATTCTGTTTAGTATTTTATAATTGAATTAGTTATGCTTGTGATATTATAGGAGTAAAAACCAAAAAAATAGAACAACAAAATGAAATTAAACGGTAATGTATGATTTATATTTGTTTGATTTCTTTTCCTTCTATAGAAAATGTGTTCAAATAAATCAGCTATGTACAACAATTTTAAGGGCATTGTGTTCAGTATACTACATGTATCAACGCAATCGTGGCTTATTAAATATTTTTTCTCAAAGAAAGAAAGAAATACCGGTAATATTCTTTTTTTTAATTTAAATCAAAAATAATTTTAATCCACGTGCACTGACGACCATATCTTTATAAACGAGAGGGGGGGGGGGGTAAATTAAATTACTAGACAGTTCAGTCTTTCATGTTTTGTTGTAGCTTTCAATCTAATGTTAGTTTAATTAAATGCTTTATTTTCTATTCTTGTTTAAATTCGTTGTTAAATGTATGCGCAGATACACCCCTTATAAATGTATTGGAATCTTCTTTCCGCCTTTCAACTGTGATCAAGGTCATTTACAACAGCGATCACGGGCTCCGAGGGCATTGCAAATGAAAACCTGTTTTGCTATATGTACATGTTGAGTTCACGGCTTAATGACACCTGGAAATTACGACTGGATTTTATCTTTTTTTTAAATAAAATGGTTCTATAAATATTTGATGGGTACAACTTATAAATCAGCGGATTTCATCTTTTATTTGTAAATCCGAATTTCTAGCCGTAAACAGTAAAATAAACAGAACTGATTTGGTATAGTCTTTTTATGAATATCATGTAAGAAAAGTTTAGGAGTAAATCATGAATAATTGTATATTACAACTGTATTTGTTTAATAAATCACGTACTTTTTATTTCATCTAAGATATTTCAGTTTTCTTGTAATATACCTGAATGCCGGTATAAAGATCGATCTTCATTGTATGTACAATGTATAGTCAAATGCCGCGACTATTAATAAATGTACACATACAAACATACGTTTAGTCCTGTTTTGAAATGAAGTATTTTACAGTATGATGGGTATACTGATGTAATTTGATAAGCTTCATGTAAAAAGAGAAAGAGAATAGAATAGATTAATAGATCACATTACCCCCCCCCCTTTACCGGTTTCCCTCCTATTGATAATGCTTGCGTAAAAAAAAAAATCTTTAAAAATGTTTCAATAATCGTTAGTAGAGTATATAGGCAAATTTAATTTATAATTTAAAATCAAAATCACAAAAAATAATCCGCCTACGGAAATCAAACACATGCAATATAATCAATATTATTAAAAATCAATGAGTTTATATTCCTGCGGTGAGAAATAGAATTTGTGTTCAATTTATTAAATCAATTTATCAAATTATACTCGTAAAAATATTACATTGAAATGAATGACTAATACCTGTATATAAAAATTGTATTTTATCAAACAGTCATTTACGATATGGGCATTTCGTTTTTAAACAGTTGGATAAATAAATAAATAAATTCGAACTGACAATTATTTATCAATTAATTACGTATACAACTGTCAGAGTATTGAATATTTTTATCAGTTTTTATAATACAAGTGTACTAAATTTAATTTAAACAGCTGCTTAATGTGGCTTTTTGAGCGATTTTCATTGAATTAATGATAAAGTGGTAAAAATGCCCGAGATATTCCGAGTAGAAAAATCCAAACAAAGGCCAAACCGTGCGAAAATCGTACACAAAGCGTGTGAGAAACGTGTACAAAGTGTTTCGTGCAGCCTTTCGTGTAAACAGTGCAGCCTTTCATGCAAAGCGTTTCGTGTAAACCGTGTAGCGTTTCGTGCAAACCGTGTAGCGTTTCGTGTAAACCGTGCAGCGTTTCGTGCAAACCGTGTAGCGTTCGTGTACCGTTCGTGCAGCGAGCGTGTGGGGTAGTAGCACGTCTCAGGGTCTGTAGTACCCATATAAAACATACAAAATTCACCACTTTGTCATTACATTATACTAATTATTAAATTAATACAGTGAAATTAAATCAATAATTGTTCATTTCTTTCGTTAACTGTTCATTGACAAATATTTAGTATGTAGTTTCAATGTCCATTTATTCCAAACTTGTAAACTGATAGTTAACCCAAATTTCACAGGTACACTTCCTGAAACGTAACAATTAATTACACATTTTCTTGATTGTACATATATTTTCTAAAAAATTAGTGGGTTTTTTGAAGTTATAACAAGGAAAAGAATCAATGTGCCATTTAATTAGATTGCCGACATGCAGTGATCATATATATATGCATGCGTGTACCGTTTTTATTAGCTAGAGGTCCATATCTCTTCCCTCGTCTGATAATCTCACATCCACTGATATTTGTTTTTGTAACAATTTTTTATGCGCCCGGATTGATAGCTCAGCGGGCATATAGTGTTTTTGTCCTGTCTGTCTGTCTGTTTGTCTATTTGTCTGCAAACTTTAACCTTCGCTGTAACTTTTGAACAATTATAGATAGAGACTTCACATTTGGTAAGTATACTCCACTATTAAAGCTTTTTAAAATGACACCAAGCACAATGACCTTGTGACCTCGACTGTGGCCTATATGCTAAAATTAACCTTTTTCTACAAACTTGAACCTTCGCCATACCTTTTGAACCATTAAAGTTAGAGACTTTATATATGGTATACATATTCTACTAATTATGCTCTTTCCAATGATACCAATGTCAATGACCTTGTGACCTTCACTGTGACCTATAAGCTTAAATAGCTTTTTTGTCTTCAAATTAAACCTTCACCATAACTTTTGAACCACGAGAGATTTAGACTTCATATTTGGTATGCATACTCCACTAATAAATCTCTTTCAAATGACACCAAGGTCAATGACCTTGTGACCTTGACTGTGACCTATATGATAAAAATACCTTCTTTTTTTCACAACTTTGTTGTCACCGAGCCCATAGTGTTTCAAAGACACATCTGATTTTGCTTTAAAAAATGACGCCTTTACAATAGTTCGGTTTTTCTCGAGTTAAAGAGTGTATCCTGAAAGTCATGTAGTTATGATAAACCAGTATATCGTTGATGCAATGTATCCAATATGTAAATATCTGTCCTACTTGTCTGTTTATGCAGCAACGAAACTCCCCTCCTCAACGAAAGAACAAACCAAGGGAGATAATCTCGAAACTTGCTTGTTGAAATACTGAGCAAGGCTACAGTTTAACCAACTTACGAGAGTAAAATGAAGGTTTTTTTTAATGAATAATTCCAACCTCATAAAAATTCAAAGCTACAGAGCTGTACCTCTCTGCTTCAGAAAATTTGGACAGATAAAGCACAAAGCTACAGATAAAAAAAAGCCTTATAAAAAGCTTTGATTTACGACATTTTTTTTTGTCGCTCACTACGGGTATTTTTCTTGTATTTTATACTGTCCCCAGCTTTGAAATTATTTTTTAAATGGTTTTTTAATAATTAATCATACATTAAACTTCAATTCCTAATAATTCAATTACCTCTAAACGCTAACAAATGGCTGTTAATTGTGGTTACGGACAAAATTATATTCAAGACTGTTTCGGACCGTTAAAAGGTAAATAAAGTATCAAATATAAGAGTTAAATAAGGCCTAAACTAAAATATTATCTGTTTGCAGTTGCCTACCGACCCACTGAAAATGCACCCGACCCAAACTTTTTTTTTAGCCATGTTGTAATTTTTTTTTCAGTATTTTCAGGATACTGTATTGAAAGTGTTTCATTGTCAATTTTTGTCTTTATTAATTAGTAGTTTATACCAAGAGTGGAGCTTATTCATGTATAGTACGCCTATGAAAAACTTTATTTAAGAAATAAGGTATCAATTTTTTAGTTTTATTGGGATGTAAAACGGGTTGGTCACCTATTCAAATCTCATAAAGCCCGAAGGGCTTTATAGAAGATTTGATCATGTGCCAACCCGTTTTACATCCCAATAAAACTCAAAAAATGATACCTTATTACTTATATTAACATTTGTGACTTATTTATCACAAATAGTAATGTATTTAACTAAAGTTTGAAACCCATAATGTTTTTTTTTCAAAACTCAACGGTATAAATTGAATTATGATGTACCAAAGTATTTTTTCTCCTCATTTTTTGCACTTGTTAAACTGATATACCAACCCAAACAGGCTATAATATCCCATTAGGCCAATAGGGTGAGTGGTCCCATGCAACCCCTTATCACTGTTTATCCTGTGACATTACTGAAGCAGGAGAAAGCGGAAGTGGTCTAGCGGAAGTGGGAACAATTTAGAATCCCCTAGCGGAAGTGTCTAGCCGGAAGCTGACTGGATGACCGGGTCAACTGAGTGGAGTGCTAACCCTAACCCCCTAGCCCCCTAACCCTAACCCTAGCCCTAACCCTAACCCCCTAACCCTAACCCTAACCCCCTAGCCCTAACTAACCCTAACCCTAACTAACCCTAACCCCCTACCCTAACTAACCCTAACCCCCCTAACTAACCCTAACCTATTCCCCCTTAAATACTGGAGTTGTTTACACTGTTTACATTGGTACGTTGGTACTACGTTTTTTGTTTATGCTGACTATACAGGTAAATGCGCCGTGTGCAAAACATTGCAAGAATGTGATTATGACGTCACGCATTCACAGTCTAGACAGTCCTATAACCGGTTTGAACTGGTTTTACTGAAAGACAAGAACCACCTGGATTTTTTACTGAAAACAAAACACACACACAATACAATAACAAGAACACAGATTTTTATTCAATTTTTATTCCCAATAAACAAAGAAATTTACAAATTTAACAAAAAATACATACAACAATTTACCAGGCTTGTCTTTTAATCAAAATCTAAATACCCTTCAAATTAATCATCTAGTAGTTTTCTCCAATACACTGCCCTGTTGCATTCTTTTTGATCTGGATTTTTGCATGTAGCTTCTATTTTTTAATGTCCTGCGTTTTTGTTTGAGTTTCTTCACCTCCTCCTTTGTCATTCCCTGCAAACGACGATTGAGCTCTCGCACGGGAAGCATCACCAATTCCTCATCCTCCAAAGGCTCTATGGTCAGGGGTCTTTTCCTTTTGGTTTCCCGAGGTTTTTTCTCTATGTCTTTTTCCATTACATAGCATGGATCCATTTGTTTCTTACTCTCTCCTGATCCGCCCTGGGTCCCTTCTTCTTCTTTTTTCTGGTCAGTGTTTCCTCCTTCTTCTCTCATTTTTGTTGTTTTTCCCGTGAATGACCTTGTGATTGGGGATAATAGGCCACTAATGTAACAAAATCCACGGCTGTTGTAACATTTCAGTTTATCCAGCTTGTTTTCAAGAGCACTCACCTTGGTGTTCAATTTATTTACCTTGTTATCCACATCATTCATCTTGGTGTTCAGATGATTCAGTTTGTTATCCAGAGCAGATAGCATGTTCACAATTCCGTCTAAAGTGGTGTTTAAAATGCCCATATCTTCTTTATTCATGTCCTCATGAAAATTAATCATGTCCAAATTCAAATCCAATTCCACGGCATCCCTTATTATCTCTGTCATGGGAGCTCCTACGTATCCTTCAGGTGTCACATAATACTGGGAATTTTCTGAAGTATTCATCCTTGCTTTCTTTTTTTCACCTGTGTTCAGTGCTCACGCAGAATGATCAAATTTGACAGTTTTTTTGCTTTATATACCTGCTATGAGCCGTGTGCAAAAAATACCTAGGCTTTATATACCTGTTGCATCACCTGTAAAGAGGGCCGTGTGCCAAAACTTAGGGGCCGTGTGCAAAAATACGATAGACCTACGTTTTGTTTATGTACACAGGTAATACTTAGGGACCGTGTGCAAATATACGTTTTACCTGCGTGGGCTATAAAAAATGAGAATTATAAAAAGATTAATTTTTTACTGTGATAATACATAGATGCGATGGAGAAAGTATGTATTTCAATACCTGGGAAATTTCACACATAGGGTTAAGAAATCAGTGACTTTTTTAAAATACCTAAAACCTCAAAATCTACGAATGACTAGACCCCCACCCCTTGGATGCAATGAATATCATATACAAAATACTATTTTTTAGAGGAGGATTTTACAGTTAAGAAATTTTTTTTGTTTTAGTTTTTAAGAAAATAAAAAATCATGTAAATATCACTGTTATGTTTATTATATGACGTCATAGATACACTCGGGTTCGGCCTTTTCCCCATTTCAATTTTGCTTTGTCACTGTGCTGGGGGTCTTTTTGATCACATGACCAAAAGCGATTTTTTGGTGTTAGCCAATCACATTTAATCACGTGATTGATTTGTTGATGTTTTGCCGCGATTGAAGTATCGTCTGCTATTGTGTATAAATACAAGCCCTCCGTGGTTTCAGTATCATTCCTTTGCGCTTGATTTGGTTGTTTGAAAGAAGAAAAGAACAAAGAAGAAGAAGATGGGTGACCAATTTATGGATTTTTGGATGATTCCCGGTATTATTATCGAAACTCACGTTATCATTAGGAGGATGGATACAGGAGCGGAGATTGCTCATCATAACCTAACCAGGACAAGACTTCTTGAGCCCCCCAGCAGGAGGAGGACCAACACCCCCTACACCAGGCTCCGAAGCAGAGCAAGATCCCCAGCGCCATCGAGGCCCCCACCGCCGCCCAGACCTGCTGCTACAGCCCAGGTACAGGCCCGGAACCAAGGGCGGATACCATCCTGGGGATTCCGGGTCCCCCAGCAGTTCATTTTTTGCAGTTTATGCATGTCAGAGAACGAGCCCAATAATTTTTGTTGCAGCCTCTGCATGCAGCCTCCGGCATGCATACTATGTGCAGCACGTATTATCGAACAGAGGATGCCCTGCCCCCTCTGCAGAAACCCCCATCGGCATCTAATCCCCACCTCACAGAGGACAGAATTTCAGAGGCGTGAGGATAGTTCCTCAGATTCCTCAGATGAAGAAGACGGGGCCCCCGGAAACATCGGACAGTTAGTCCAGGAGGTGCTGGCAGCCTAGGCGGGACCTACTTGACAACAAAAACCAGAAAAAACAAAAAAATCAACAAAAACCAGAAAAAACCAAAAAGTGTTTTTTATACCCAACGGTCCTTTTAAGGACCACCAAATTTTTCGAAAAGATGCTTTCAAATACAGTTGAAAAGAGAAACGAATTGTGTGTGTCTTAGAAAAAAAAGATCTTTTTTTTCCCTCTAAAATACAGTCAAAGAAACGATTGTATCTTTAGAAAAAAAGAGGATCTTTTTTATAGTCAAAAGAAACGTTTGTTCAATAAAGATTACCTTTTTTGTGGGTAAACACAAGAAACTTGTATGTCTCAAGTTTATAACACCAGGTCACTTTTTATAATTTTTATAACTTTTTTAAAACTTTATAACTTTTTGATAACATTAACTTTTTTAAATTAGCTTTAACTTTTAAATAATGATAACCCCTTTTTAAAAAATAGATTCACATCCAAACACACATTTTTAAATTTTTTATTTTTTCAAAACAATAACACATACACTTTATGTAAATGAAGAATGTATTTTAATCATAAGTGTGTGTGTACAAATTATTTTTTTTTTTTTGATAATTTTTTTATTTTTAAAAAAATTCAGGTAAATCTACAATCTCTTGGAATTAATTCTCTGTTACTCACTTCAGATTTAAGAACTCCATATTCTTCATAGTTACCTTGTCTATAAAAGGTTCTTTCCAATTCTTGGGGTACTGTGAGACATATCAAAACAAGTTAATTTATGAATCTTTCTGTACAGGTATCTCTCATGACAGCTGTATTTCATTTGAATGAATCCTTTCACATGATGAAGTTTTCTAGTTTCTGGATGCCTTTCTTTTTGTAAGATCAAGTATTGATAATCACTTCTAATGATTTGATCTACATCTTCCTGTCTGCACCCAGTTAAATCAAATATCCAATTTTTTTTTTTTAGCTATTCTAAATCTGTTTATTTTAAAGTTAGCAATATAACCATTGCCTGTATTTTCTTTCTGTTTGATTTGATAATGAGTCTTAATATCCTCCAAGAGTTGAGTTTGAACTTCTTTCATTATTTGTAGACTCTTCTGTGGATTTTTAAAATCTTTTTATCAATCTTTTTTTTTTTCTGACATCTCTATTTTCTTATCATCTATAAACTTGGCTTCTTCTCTAGTCAAGGGTCTTACAGGGTAATCCAGGTTACCCTCACCCTCTATGGGTAATACAAGGTTATATTCCTCATTGACTTCTTCTGCAATTAAGGGTCTTTCTATGTAATCTCTGACAACATTAGGATCACTCTTTTCTGGATAAAAATGGGTTATATTCTTCTTGAGAAATGATCTCAAGAGTGCCATCTTTTTTTTTTTTTTTTTTATTGGTATACCTCTGTCTACATCTTTCTCTAAAAGAATTCTCTCTCCAACCTGAATTTTACTCATTCCTTTACTCTTTTTGCTTCCTAAAGGTGTTACCCATGGTTGAGACAACAACAATACTGAGTGTTTTTTAATTTCACACCTTGAATTTATACATTTCTGTGATACTATCATGGGGAAAAAAAATATTAAGAGGAATGTAAGAGTGATTTTTTGAAATATTTGTGATATGTATATTGTGCATAAAATCCCATTCTAGTCTTTTCAGTCCCAAAAAACATGGTTATGACACAGTTTCAGATATTAAATAGGTCTTTTTTCTGTTGTAAAAAAGAAAAAAATTTTCACTTTCTCTCATTATTTTTCTTCAGAAAACATGTTTTTCTCAAACTCCATAACTCATTGAAAGCAATGAGGTAGATGACTATTACTTGTAAGGTACAAACTCCTTTTTTAAAAAAGAAAAAAATTCCTGGTAGTTTTCTTTTTGTCTAGCAAAGTTTAAATGTGATTTTAGATAACATGAAACTTTTATAAAAGTTAAAAAATCATATTTCATTTTTAACAATACAAAAAAAAAAAAAGATGAGGGATACCATTGATCACTATACCTTATAAAATTTAAATCTTTTACATTTCCTCCCCATTCTATACTGAATACCCAACTCCTGTTTTGTGTTTTGAAAAATAATTGATGGTTAAAGGGGGATAATCGACTTTTCAAAAAGGGTGTTTTTGTTAACAGACAAAAAATCAAATGGATTTATTCAGGTTTTTAAAAAATTCATGGAATGTTTTCTCTATTTTCTCTATTGTCATTTATCTTCTTACTTTTTTTTTTTTCTCAATTCTTGGTAATACTATAAAATAAAATCTGCATGAGTATGAAACTCTCATCATATCCCAACTGTTTTTCCCTGCAAGGGTTTTTTTTTCACACTTTCATGTTTTGTAGTTGTTGTTGTTTTTCTCATAAAAAAGATAAAGTTGAACATGAAAATCAAAACATGCAACATTTTTTAAAAAGATATATGATTTGGTAGAGTGAAAATAAATAATTTTCCTTCACTAATGTCTCATCCCCTCAAACAAAAACAATATTTAAAAATTAAAATGTTTTTTAATGTGAGTATAGATGCATCAACATTTTTTCCTGGAATGATAACTTTTTGTACAGCTTAACAATTTTAATCTGTGATATATATGTTGTGATTTTAAAGTTAAAAATTTCAAAAGTCTAGAAAAAATTCTGAAAGAGAGGTCACTGAGGTTTTCAATTATAAAACACCACTGGCTTCTTCTGGTCCTGGACAATATGTAGAAGACTGTGTATATGTTTCCTTGACTGATGAACAGCATGTGCTATCTGGAAACAAAAATGTTTTCTTTCAAACCATATTTTTAAAAAAATTTCCAATGCTGAAAAGATGATTGCACAACATGAAAATACCAATTCATTATCTCCATCTATAAATTTACCTCTGATAAAATAAATTTTCCCCTCTGCTAAAATTCCTTTATTTAACTTTCTCCAATTTACCTTCTATACTCTAAAATGGGGTGGTCAGGTTCAAACTTGGTATGGCCCAGCTATTAATCATCTGTTAATCATCTGTTTATGCAGACCTAAAATTGAACAATAATATATTTGAATTGTAGTGTTTTTTTCATTGCTTGAAGAAAAAAAATCATCACTGTTAAAATATGATAACTGAACTGATATGAAAAGTTGGTCATACAGAATACCCTGTTAGTGTAGCAAAATCTATGTTTTTTTAAAAAAAACTGTAACATTTATCTTTTGCATTTATATTTTTTGTAAAGAATTTCTCATAACTTTGAAAAAGTAGTCTTATTGTATACTAGGGTTAACTTTAAATTTTGTAGACTTAAAAAAGCTGTACATGATGTGTTACACATCTTACATATGTAACCATTTTAGGGTATTCAGCTATCTATTGTGATTTTGTCTTAAATTTGTTTGTTCCTGTAATCAATAATTTGCGAATACTTAAATTAGGAAATATATCAGAGAATAAACAAGAAAATCAGGTTTAAGAAATGGTTTTTACAATTAATAAGGGGTTCTTCTATATATATTGAATCTATAAGTACATTCAGTCTATACCTTGAAGGAATTTCTGTATGAAATAAACTTACAATATTCTTGAATTCTTTTTTGAGACGCGCAGTGTGTGTATGGTTTTTAATCAAACATAAAAAATCTAGAGTGAATCATGATCTAAAAAGTAAATACGAATGATTTTCAAAGCAATACGAATCTTTTCATGTCAAATTTTCTTTCATAAAACATCGGGTGACTTAAAAAATCAGGGAATGTGTAGGTCCTACGTTGTTTACACCCCAGTGTCACTACAGTGTTCGATTTTGGTAAATAAACAAACGATCATGACTTGTAAAGGCTCTAAAAAGTAAATACGAATGATTTTGAACCTCATCACATGTTATTTTTCTTAAAATATCAATCAGATAAAGGGTAGATTC